AGGACCTCCAAGGGAGAACTTAGATTCACTAGTGAAATTTATAAGGACTATGTGGGAATGAGGATGCCCCACCACAGGAGGATGACTGCCACTGTGGACGGTGTTTTAAAGGAAATATAGGTGTCTGAAAGGAGGTTCCATTGATAGTTTCTGAAGTTATTTCTAGTTTATTCTTCAGAAATTAGTTAATGATAGTAACCCTGGAAATAACAACGGTGGTCAAATCTCACACTGTGTTCAAGGACAAGCTGAGCCAAGCTCTAACAGCCTGTGCACCTTCTAACTGGTTGTTGGTCAACAGATGCTCACTGAATGCACAAGACATTACCTGGCATAGCCCCACTATTTAAAGAGCATATTATAAGGTCTCAATCTAAATTTGCAAACATATATAAGATCATCTCTCATTTTAAGATCTATTTTGGAAGAGGGTTGAGACAGGGTCTCACTATGTAGCCCCTTCTATCTTGGAACTCACTATGTAGACCAGGCTGGCCTCGAATTCACAGAGATCTGCCTGCCTCTCCCTCCTGAGTGCTGGGATTAAAGATGTGTCCCACCATGTCCAGGTCATCTTTCATTTTGTAAGGTGTTTTGTTTTTTTTTTATTTTTTTTATTTTTTTTTGGTTTTTCAAGACAGGGTTTCTCTATGTAGCTTTGCGCTTTTCCTGGAACTTGCTTGGTAGCCCAGGCTGGCCTCAAACTCACAGAGATCTGCCTGCCTCTGCCTCCTGAGTGCTGGGATTAAAGGCATGCACCACCACCACCTGGCCAATTTTTTTATATTTATTATTTAATTTATTCCTTGAAACATCCCTGTAAGAAATATATTATTTCATTATCAAATTAATGAATAATATCATTAACATTTTAAAATCACTTACTCAGGCCTGCAATATGGCTCAGAGGGTAAAGATGCTTGCCACCAAGCCAGATGGCCTGAGTTCAATCCCTGGAACCCACATAGTAGAAGGAAAGAACCTACTCCAGCAAGCTGTCTTCTGACTCCCACTTGTACCCTGTGGCACGCCCATGTGCTCACACATATAAATAAATAACTGTCATTTTTAAGGTTTTAATTAACTTGTTTGTTCTCTCTGGGAGCTCACAGTTTCTAATGTCACTCATCAGCAATAGATCCTTAAAGAGAAGATCAGTTTTTTAGGGTTTTCACATCCCTCTTGTTCCCATAAAAGAATTAAATTAGAAATAATAATCCACGTCAGAAGAGGAAGTACACATTCCAATCAGCAGTTCCGATCTCCAGCAACCAGGGCAGAGAGGAAAACACAAATACAGGCAAGCCTTACCCTTAACGTTAGACTTTGAGAGGCATGTAATTTGAGGTCTTGCTTTTATAGAAAAACACAAGTGGGATGAATGCTAAGGCCTATTTCAGAGTTGTGCTTTGAATCAAATGTTTATTTGATTTTAGACAAGAAATCTGCTATCCCAGATGCAACAACAAAAGTAGCTGAAGCAGAGATTGGGGGTGAGTTAGAGGAAGCTCTGGGAATATCAGACATGAGACTCCTGAAAGAGAAAACAAACACACACACACACACACACACACACACACACACACACACACACACACACACTTGCCCACCAGAGAGAGAGAGAGAGAGAGAGAGAGAGAGAGAGAGAGAGAGAGATACACAGGACATATTTCTCAATGGGGCCATCTCTCCAGCTCCATCCCCACCCCCTACCCCTCAGAGAGATGGCCCCATGCAGGCTGAAAGAAACCTAAAGCTATGGGATTCTGTGGGGCCCTGGGCCACTAGAGCAACCATAAAGAAGCTATGGCGTCATTATTTTCATTGTGGAAAGGCACGCTCAACCCTGCCTTGAGCAGGGAGGAGGCAGCCCAGCCTCAGAAACTAGGGACAGCAAGGATTCAACAGTGGGTTGGAGGAAGCTTCCTTCCTCCCCAGATCTTAGTGCTCAGAACAGTGGTGGTCTAACGAAAACATCGTGGGGCCACCACGTCAGCAATGAAGCTCGGGTCGTGTGCAGGGATTTCACGGCAAGAGTAAAATAAGAACGTAAAGCGGCCCACACACCCCACCACCAAGCTGAGTGTCCCACATGAGCTGTGCCCCACACCCAGAAGATCACCAGCTCATGTTTACTTCATAAAAACTATTGACCGTTGCCGAGATTTGTGCCTGTAGAGTGTGGCTGCATTGAGAGGACACTTACCCAGTTCATGGAAAGACTGGAGAAAGCCAGAGAGATGGCCCCATAGGTGAAGGCACATGCGGCCCAGCTTGACGACTAAGTTCGAACCCACATGGTATGTGGGAACTGACTCCCACAAGTTGTAATATGATTGTGACACCTGTGTATTCTGCCAAAATACATAAATGTGATTTCTTTTTTAGATGTAAAGACTAGGAGAGTCAAGAAGACCTTCGGACACCTGTTTAACATCATGAGTCACAATGTGAGAATCAACTACAAAATGTCTTGACTTGTATGCCTTTGTGTTAGGTGAGTTATTTTATATAGAAGTTGGGAGAGTTCAGTCCTGGTTCCCCTCTTCTTAGTTACCCAACCTTGGCTAAGTTATTTAGGGCATGTGCCTTTGTGTCTAATGATAAGATGAAGATAATAATCAGATCTACTCACAGAGTTGCTGTTAGCACTCAGCTATTTTAAGGAAGGTCCTGATGCACACCAAGTACTCAGGACATATTAGCACTTGTCTAAATGTGACTACAATAGAAAAATCATCTGAGAGCATCCACCAAATGGCCTACCCTCTTGTCAGCACAGTCCTTATTCTCCAGCATTTGCACGTGGAGGTCATTTAGGGCTTTGTGATTAAAAACATGAAAAGCAACTCTGTGTGTGTGTGTGTGTGTGTGTGTGTGTGTGTGTGTGTGTGTGTGTGTGTGTGTGTGCATAAATAGGTGGGTAGGTATGGAAGCAGAAGCAGAAATCCCAAACAGAAGACTCAGAGATTTGGCTACATGTACAGAGGGAAATCTGGCAGACTCAGTCATTAAAAACCATGCCTAATTAATTCTATCTGAGCATCAATGACTGTGGAAAGCCAGGCAGAACTGTTAGAATAAATGTCTCAAATTCCAGGTTGTCTATGTGCATCTTAATGTGCACATAATGTGCACATAAATGACTAGCTTAAGATCCTGCATCTTGAAAAGTGACAATGAATTAAGTTTATGGGCATTCAAGTGAGGACTATTTGGCCTTAGCTGTGAGTAATCCCAATTTAATAAATGTGATGCCTGGCTTGAAGCATCCACAGATAGTTGGAACAGCGGGAGTGAGAACAGAACTCAGGAACACAAACTTAATAAGAGTGGTAGAGGAGAGGAGGTGAACAGAGCCATCTGGAGGCAGAGAAGGCAGCATCTCTGTCCACCAAGGATAAGCGTAGACAATCCATTACGTTAATGAACTGGGAATTCAAGCAACATCATCAGGAGAAGAAAATGTCCTGACAGTGGATAGAATAGGTGGGCTGAGAAGATAATAAAATAGGTGGGCTGAAGATAATAGTTGCCTTTTCTGAAGGTCACATACAGATGTTCACTGCTTTATCAGATGTTTATAGATCCCTGCTTTCACCATTTCCTTGCAAATTCTTCTCCCTATGTAGTGAGAGAAGGATCTCTTGTCCATTCCTGGTCCTTTACCTATGAAGTTTTCAAAGATTCCAGAGTCTTCTCTGTTCTCTCCAGGTCACCAGGTACTACCAGAAGAGAGCGAGCTTCCCATCCAAATCCATTCAAGCAACCAGCCAATCTTTTGGCTACCTCATGGCTCAGGCCAGGTTTCTAGGACACACTTTGTGAAATGCAGGTATGTGTGGACAATGCTCTTAGGATCAACACAGAGGGAGTGATAAATGAAGCAGGGTTAGTTCTTAGTTAGGGTTTTTTAATAACTTATTTATTTTTACTTTATTTGCATTGGTGTTTTGCCTACATATATGTCTGTTTGATGGTGTCAGATCTTAGAATTACAGACAGTTGTTAGCTGCCATGTGGGTGCTGGGAATTGAACCCAGGTCCTTTGAAAGAACACTGGGGCAGTCAGTGCTCTTAACCGCTGAGCCATCTCTCTGGCCCCTTTAGTTAGGGTTTTTACTGCTGTGAAGAGACACTGTGACCATAGCAACTCTTACAATAAAAACATTTAATTGAGGAGGCTGGCTGATAGTTTCAGAGGTTCAGTTCATTATCATCATGTCAGGAAGCATGGTGGTGGGCAGGCAGATGTAGTGTTGGCTACATCTTGACCAGAAGGCAGCAGGAAGTTAACTTCTGACTGTCACACTGAGGGAAGCTTGAGCAAAAGAGACCTCAAAGCTGCCCCCACAGTGACACGCTTCCTCCAACATCTCCTAATAGTGCTGCTTCCTCTGAGGGCCTTTTTTTTTTCCAAACCACCACAGTTGGAATAAGAGTTGAGCTGTCATGTGACTGGGTAGATCACAGCAAAAGTCCCAGATAATACCCTGGAGAATGAACCCTTAGGACCTGCCAATGGGGAAATGATTTAAATAAAGGGGTGGGATGGACAGAGAAAGAATTTTTATATAAAGATGTTGTTTGGCAAATTTCTTCTTAGTAGACAGTAAATTCTATAAAGACAGAAGCTGCATCCCTGCTCCTGGGACAGTGCGATAGGATTTTCTCTAGTTGTTGACCACCCAGTTGGACAATAGTAACGGCACACAACAGACTAGGTAACAGCCAGGGCAGGAAGCAATATACGTTATAAGCCTCTAATCCGTGAAATGTGTATGTACACGTTCACAGTTCTGTGTGTAATGCATGTGTTATGTATGTTGTTCTGTGACTTCTCCTGGACCTGTTGCAAAAACCCAAGCAGACAAGTAAAGGTGATGTCATATCAACTTGGTGTCCTTTATCCCTGCGACTAGTCTTCTAGAGGGCCTAATTTTCCTCTACTCTTGGATCTGGTCTGTTCTATGAGTCCTTGAATAAAAGGCAAAGACCAGTTGGTGAAGCACAGTGCAATTTATTGAGAAAAGCAAGCGCAGCATGTCATCAGCGAAAGATCCGAAGCTCAGGAGATTAGGGAAACAGATGTGCCAAGCATGAAGACAGCTTCGTGAGAACCAGCAGTTTGGAAACCTCGACCTTCCTCCTATGAGAGGTAGATGGCCAGAATGGGCTAGGCTAGACTAGAAGGCTCAGGAAAGGGACACAGTTGCAGGCTGAGGCAGGGGACAGGGGACGGGGGTGGGGAGCGGGGGTGTTGCTCCTGAAGATCACTTGGAGCGCTGCTGGCTGGAACTGGTGGTCTGAGAGAAGTGGACGCTGCTGCTGCTTCCTCTGCTGGACTTGTAGCTGCCGCCTACGGAGGCCTGGGTGCCACCAGAGTTAAAGCCCATTCCCCGCTGGCTTACAGAGACGCTGCCTTCACGGCCAAGCCTGCTGCCAGTGCTGTCCCTGCTGCTGCTGCTCCTGCCACTGCTGTCCCCTCCATAGTTGCTGCCACCGGCCCCTCTGAAGCCTCCAGAGCTGCTGCTGCCACCTCTGGAGCCACTGCTGCTGCCACCGGCCCCTCTGAAGCCTCCCGAGCTGCTGCTTGTGCTGGTGACATTGCTGACCACCGCTGCAGGGAAACAGACAGTTCAGGAGAAAGGCCTGGGGAGCTGGAGGCAAACTCTGTCTCAGACCTGCCCTGATCTATAATTTAGAAAAAATGGCTCATCATCTCCGAGGCCTTGGCTGGTGAATACTTGGTGAACCTGGCTCTCTAGTGCCTTAGCCAAGAACAGGAACCAGAAGTATTCACAAAATTTCTGGTTATCCAACCTAGGGCACACCCCACAAGCAGAAGGGTCAAGGAGCTGCACAGCGTACGTGAAGGCTACAGCTGAGAGGTGGCTGATGTCACAGGGATGCCTTGAGTGAGCTGGGTCAAATGCACGTGCCTATGCACACACATGCAGAGACCAAAGAAAGATGTCCGTCTCCAACTTATTCCCTCTAGATGAGACTGAAGCTTAACCTTGTAGCAAGGATGGCTGGCCAGTCAATTCCCAGGATCCATCCCCCCAATCCCAATACTAATACACGACCATGCTCAACTTTTAAGTGAGTGGTAGAGACTTCAAACTCAGGTCCTCATGTGCAGCAAGAGATTACCCCCACTGAACCATCCCTAGCCCCCAGAGATGGTTCTTAAATGTATTACTTACAAATGCACACATCACTCTGACATTCTCCAGACATCCTGGAAAGAGAGAAGATAAGAGTTACTTCCTCAGTAAGTCAACAGCCAAAGAACCGGAACCTCAGAAACCACCTCTTCCCATCTGCCCTCCCTGGGAAGGGAAAGGCCAGTCCAGGCTGTTCACATCTCCATCTCCCTCATATTAGGGGGCTGATTCCAGTTATGACTTACAGCACACCTCTGCCAACCACACTCTGTCTCCCTGTCTTCCCACCCTTACCTTTAAAGATCTGTTCCAAGCAAACTGCCACCCCCCTCTTGATTGGCCACCCTCACCTCTCGCCTGCCGCTAAAGTGAACTTCTCCGTCTGTGCATGCCCTTCCCCTCTTCTCCAGCCCTGCCTTTGTTTACCCAAGTTTCCTCCCCCAGCAAGCCTTCCCCAGGGAGGCGTGGGGTGGCATGGGGCTCGAGGCAACAGTAGTGATGGTGGAGAAAACACGAGATGCTGACCCCCAGTTTGTGCTATATTTGAAATTTTCCCACTCACAATACCCATCTCCCCAGGCCTGGTGCTTGTTCATGGAGCACTGAGCAGACGTGGAATGTTCGTGTGCTCCTGGCCACAGAGTGCCTGCTGGTGCTGACTGCTCCCTTCTCATCACATGATTCTCAATACACTTAACTCATCTTCGCTGTTTCCCACAGAGACTCATCAACATTCCTTTTCTTCCCATGCTTGGGCTCTCCTTCCTCTATCAGATTGGGGGCTGACTGAGGGCAAAGGCTCTGAATAAAGACGCCTGAGACTAGGGTCGACAGAACACCCCCTCGATTCTTAACACCGCCTTCCCGCGACACACTCACTAAACCTTGGTCTGCCTCTGTACGCTGTGTTATTTCTCAGGGATATGTATGTGGCGAGCATTCTCCCTGTGCAGTCTCAGCTTCAGCCATGGGGGGCTGCAGGATTATCCACAGTGAATTTTCAACATGGAAGCCACTAGCCACACGAAGCTACATAAATTAATTTCAATTAAATGTAAAACTCAGATCCTCAGTTACACTACACCTATTTCAAATGCTGGAAGAAGCCAGGCATTGATGTGCCAGTAATCCCAGCACTTAGGAGACTAGGGCGGAAGAATCAGAAGTTCAAGATCAGCTGGGGATACATAGTGAGACCCCCATCTCAGAAGAAAAAAAACAAAAGAACAGTCGGGGATGAGAAGAGGGAGAAAAGGAAGAAGGGAGGAGGGGAAAAAAGAAGGAGGATACCAACTATTGTATCAGACAGCCTAGCCTGGAAGATTTTCATCTTGAAAAGTCCCAGTGGACAGCCCTGGTCTATAACTTCTGTCACAACCTCAAAGAGCTTCTCCTGCCACATTGATAAATACAAGTGCATGATTCAATGGTGTGACCGTGATGAATTAGATAATTAGATAATAATGACTGATGAGAAACAGGGGACTTAAACACTTCCTCTGCTGTTCAGGAGACTCCCTGGCCTCTGTCCGACTTATCCTCTCCTTTTATTATCATTTTTTCCTTTCTTTGCTATCGTGGGTCAATACAAAACCATATTTGGAGAATGTCAACCCTATCACCCCTCACCTGCACTCCTCGCCCTCCAGCAGCTTGCGGTAGGTGGCGATCTCCACGTCCAGGGCCAGCTTGATATTCATCAGCTCCTGGTAGTCACGCAGCATCCGGGCCAGATCATCCTTGGCCTTCTGCATGGCAGCCTGCAAGTCTTGGAGTTTGGCATCAGCATCCTTGAGGGCCCTGTCGCCACGCTGTTCGGCTTCTGCAATGGACGTCTGCAGGTTGGTGTTCTGGGGCAGAAAGAGGAAAGGATGAAATTTGCATAGGACTGGGAAGCAAGCACCTGATTGTCCCGAGGACGGGACCTCTTCACCATCTGTCACTCATCCTTCCCTTTCCCACTGGCACGTGCTCACAAGTCAGGATGATGTTGCAACTTGGCTAATTCATCCTGTTCCCATTGAAATCAACTCCTGCGTGACTCATGAAAAGAAACACATCTGCTTCCCTGAGCTGGCACAGGCAACAGGAGTCTGGTTAGCCTTTGATCTCTTTTGGAAGACTGTTTAAAATAAAATCCCTTCCCTGACCATTGCATTCCACTGATACAAAGTAGCCACTGGGATTGTATAAAGTGTGATTAAAAAAAAAAAATCTCAGTAACACAGTGTCCCTGACTGCTTAAGGCCAACACTGCAGTGGTCAGATTAGCTGTGCAGATCAGAATTGCATCCCTCCCTCCTGCTGGGTACTGCGGCATTCCAAGAAGCTGGGCCTCCATGAAAAACAGCTGGACAGCAAAAGGCTGTCCGAGGCTGTGACTCCACCAAAGACTGGAGAAAATGGGGCAAAGGAGTTCGACTGCTGCCACACCTGCTTCTTGATGTTCTCCATTTCCGCTCGAAGTCTCTGGATCATCCTGTTGAGATCCATGATCTCGCTCTTGGTGCTCCTCAGGTCATCCCCATGCTTTCCAGCTGTGGTCTGCAATTCCCCAAGCTGACAGAGGAGAAGGGTCAGAGGGGCTTTGTAAGTGTCCGCAAAGTTTTGATGAGGCTGATCAGAGCTTAATCTGAGGGGTGAACGGAAGGGTCCTACCTTGGTCTGGTACAGGGCCTCAGCCTCAGCCTTACTCCTCTGGGCAATGTCCTCATACTGTGCCTTGACCTCAGAGATGATGCTGTCCAGGTCCAGGCAGCGGTTGTTGTCCATGGACAGGACCACAGATGTGTCACTGACGTGGCTCTGCATTTGGGACAGCTCCTGTGGGGAACATGGATGGTCACAGATCCCAAATAATACTAGGACTTCTCTACCAGCAGAGATGCCCAAGAATGCTAAATAATGGGGCAGTAGAACAATTAAGCTTTTATTTCAGGTCTGGCTATAGCCTACAGAATGCCAGCAACTGTAGGCTGTAGCAAATTGCAAAGATGTATCATCCTGGAAACATCAGCCCATGAACCCAAGTGTGGCTTCTCCTTGGAGCACAGGACAGAGGGCTGTTATTTAGTAGCTGACTATGGAGCTCAGGGAAAAGAGGGCCCTGACCCTGCAGGCAGGAGGAGCAATGTGGGCATTTCCTGGGTGGAGCAGAGCGGAGCTGGGAGCCCTGTGGCTGGCTTTGAGGGCATGCTGCCACTTGACCTGCCCCCTGAGGTTGTGCTTGTGAGGTTGCTAGTGACCAGTCTCTTAGCAGCAAATTGGAGACTCACCATGTCGTAGAGAGTCCTCAGAAAGTTGATTTCATCTGTCAGGCTGTCCACTTTAGCCTGCAGCTCCACCTTGTTCATAAAAGCAACATCTACATCCTGAAAGAGAGAGAGACCAGAGAATGACCTCTGTCCCCTTCTACCCAAGCCTCCCTCTGAGCCCTCCTCTCTCTTGCCTGTCCCTCCCCTAACCCTCTAAATGTAACTACTCACCTAACCTTTTAAAGGGAACAGAAACAAAGTACGGTACTTGTGTAGGCTGAAAATAATCTTGATTAGTGCTGCACATGGGGTGTCCATTATTAGTTCACATTACTAGCTTGTTAGTTACCATAGGGTTTAAAGATGAACAGCTTCCTTCAAACATTTCCCAAGCATGTAAGGAAAGAAGTAAGTCCCATCCACAGCAGTACTCTGCTATGGGAGATAAGGGGATTCTGGGTCTACTCCACTCACTCACCTTCTTCACCCCTACAAACTCATTCTCCGCAGTGGTGCGCCTGTTGATTTCCTCTTCATACCTGGATGGAGAGAGCCAAGGATTCAGACAGTGACATTTCAGAACGGGAGAGATGACTCAGCAGTTAAACCTGCTGGCTGCTCTCTCTGAGGCCCTGAGTTCAATTCCCAGCACCCACATGGCAGCTCAAACCATCTATAACCATAGAGTCATGCAATCCAATGCCTTCTTCTGGTGTGCAGATGTCCATGCAGACAAAACACCCGCATACATAAAATACAGGAGTAAAAAAAAAAAAAACAAACCAAGAATCCCTATGCTCCTGCAGAATCTCTCCACCCAGAGACAGGACACCTGCTCCATGGGCACATGTATGAACACACAGAGCCCACAGTGTCCTCACCCTGCCTGATAGCAAAGCTCTGCTACCATCATCTCGAAACTTTGCAGAATTTTTTAACAAGGATGTTACATAATCATCTTGCCAAGACCTGAAAATCGCAGACTGCCTGGAGACTTCACAGAGCTCAGGACTTGCCTCTCCCTCCTCCAAGTTCCATGCTAAGCTGAAGTGTGTGTACTTGAGGGGTGGATCAAGAAGCCAACTGCTTGCCTGATCTCTTTGAACAACTTCAAAGAGTCAACGGTGGAAGAAAGGGGTCTCCCAGGAGTAGATCTACCCCATGGAGTAGATATACTACATGGGTCCTGACTCCTGGGGGTGTCTGGAGCTCCCTCCCAGCTCGGGAGGCCCTGTTCACTTCTCACAGATCTCAGGTGGGAACTCAAATTTGGAACCTTAAGAAGGAGGCAGAGTAAAGGTACAGAAGCAGGAAACCAGACACACGAAAGAACAGGATGAACTTGCACAGTATGGACCAGGGGTTAGGGAGCACTCAGACCCAACACCTCCCCACACCCACTGTTTCAGAACAGCAGCAACTGGAACACAGGGATGTGCCCTTCTGATAACCTTCCTAGGCGATTCCTGAGTAGAGTAATGTGAAGCTACCAACCCCAAGGGAACCCTCTTGCTCGTCAGGGCCGATGTAGGAGAGGAAGCTGCCAGAGACTGAAAACTATGTGAGGATCAGCCCCACCGGGATTGGTTCCCACGCCCCCGATTTCAACATGGCCAGACTTCACTCAGGAAACCCACCGGAAGGTGTTGACTAAAGAGTGTGTTTGAAATCCCAGATGAAGAAGCTCCTCCATGAGGACACTTACTTCCTTTTGAAGTCTTCCACCAGGTCTTGCATGCCCTTCAGCTCTCCCTCCAGGCTTCCCTTCTCCCCCATCAGTGAATCCAACGTCTTGCGCAAGCAGCTGATGTAGGATTCAAAGAAAGGTTCCAAACTCTGGGGGCCTGAGCCAGAGCCTTTGGTCTGCTGCTGGAGCAGGGCCCACTTGGTCTCCAGGACCTTGTTCTGCTGCTCCAGGAAGCGCACCTGTGCCAAGCGAGAAAGAAAAAGAGCCCTTCGGTTGGGCACATGGGCCGCTTTGGGGTAGGAAGATAGGAAACAGACCCAGCTCCTCAATCCACAGTGACCACTGTGTTTCAGAATATGGAGAAGGAAGATTAGAAAGGGAGAGTTAGTATGTGTGGAGTACTTTGTAAACCTCCTGTTTCCATGTAGTCTGTGTCCCTTAATCCTCACAACCACCCAGACAGCATTAAATCACCAAAAGTGAGATGCATGTGGAATGGCAAAGTGAAGAGCCAAACCTAGGACCACCCTCAGTCTACCGGGATCCTTCAAAATGTAGCCGAAGGAGGTTGGTGTGGCTAAAGCAGCTTTTAACTAGACCTTAGGTACAAGCTTCTTTCTCTTCCATGAAGGTAGTAAAAACAGCCAATGGATCCTCAGAAATTCAACTTGCAGCTGACCAAGGCTCACTTCAAATCCTGGGCTTATCTCTGCCTTGGACCCAGCATGCCTTGCTTTGCCCCATCATGGACAGTCCAGCTTACCCTGGGCAGAGGCACAATATCACTGGGAAAGTATGGTGCTGCTGAGGATATGAGAAGCTGTCCCAAGATGTGTGCAGAGCTAGTTAGCTGCTAGCTAAAAGTATCAAGCAACTGTTTGTCAAAAAGGAGGTAAGCCATTCTGGGTTTGTGGCTAAATTCTTCAGGAAAAAAAAAAAAAGTGTGCTGTCCCAACACCAGAGAGAAATTAAAACCGGAAGTCCTTCCCTCCTTCCACAGCTGGAATGAGAGGGCGCAAAGAACAAGAAAGGCATGCTCACTGTCCTGGAAGCAGTAAGGCAGAACAGGCCAAGTGCCAGACATCCCACTGGTAACTTGGTGTACCATCCCCTAGCAGCCCAAACACCCGACAATGCCTCTGGGTTTGGACCTCACCTTGTCGATGAAGGAGGCAAACTTGTTGTTGAGTGTCTTGATCTGTTCACGCTCCTGGGCCTTCACTTGCCCAATCTGCGGGTCAATCTCCACATTGAGGGGCTGCAGGAGGCTCTGGTTGATGGTCACTTCCTGGATTCCCCCAGGGCAGCCACCGGGACCAAAGCCACCGGGCCTACCAAAGCCACTAGCTCCCCCAAATCCAGAAGCTCCTCCAAAGCCACCTCCCATCCCTCTGCTACCACCGAAGCCACCTCCGTAGCCACCGCCACAGCTGCCAAGCCCTCCACTGAAGCCACCAGTCTGGGAGCCACCAGCCGCCACACTCATAGAGATGCTCCTGCTGCCACCCAGGCTGTAGAGGCTCTGACTGCCAAAGCTTCCTGCTCCGCTCCGGAAACCACAAGCCCCTCCGCGGGCTGCCCCAGTGCGTGCCACGCAGCTCCTCCGGCTGCTGCCGCCGGATACCACAGCCGAGTGGCCAGAGAAGCCCTGGCTCCCGCAGCTGAAGGACTTCTTGCAGGCTTGTCTGCTCATGGTGAGAAGTGTGGCTGTGAGCTAGCAATCACTTAGCAGAGCAAAGGGCTGAGGATAGGGATGACAGGAGAAGCTGGCCTTTATATTCCAGGCTTCTTGGCTTGGCAGAAGGAGAGGCAAGCAATTACCTGAGAGTCATCTCGGGTTTGGTCTGCCTCACAGGCAATAAGTTACTTCTTGGTTCCCAGCACACCTCAGAGATAATCCTCTGGGCCATAATGGCTTTGCTTTTTTAGCTTAATCACCCAAACTTGCCTCAGTTGACAGAAGACAGCTTTCCCTCCCTCTCTTCCTCCCGACATATGATTTCCTCAAGAGTTTTAGAAAGTTAAGCAGAACCCATCACAGCACGATGACCTGACTCTAGACCCCAAGGGATTAGGAGCCCTTAATCTCCATGACCCTGTCAGCCTCTCCCAAGAAACTGAGTCCCAGACCTAAATTCATTGAGGTTTGTTATGAGCCAGGTCCTGTGGCACTCCCATGGTGCCCAGGCTGTTTCTCTCCTTAGTAGACATTGTCTTTTCATGGCACGTCACCTGTGCCCTTATTTCAGAGAGCACTGGGAGCAGGGCTGGCAGTAAGAAACATACGAACCCGGGGTCCAGTCTGCTCCCTCTGTAGTCAAAGCGTCCACCAAAGCAGACCCAGAGATTAAGGAGGAACAGGTTAGTTGTGGAAAAGGAGATAAAGTAGAGCCAGAGTGTCTGGGCTCTGGGGAATGGAAGTCCAAGATTCGGAGCCAAGAAGTGTGAGGCTAAGGAGAGGAGAAGATCTCAGACAGCCCTGCCCCCACCATCCTAAGGTCTCAGGGTGGACCCTGCCCCCACCATCTAAGGTCTCAGGGTGGACCCTGCCCCCACCATCTAAGGTCTCAGGGTGGACCCTGTCCCCACCATCCTAAGGTCTCAGGGCAAACCCTGCCCCCACTATCCAGACCAGTAGCTGGTGATTCCTGGATCCAGAAGCAGGACAGGACAGAATACAGAGACTACTTGGCTGGATAGTAGGGTCAGTTCAAGGACCTGAAATTTGTTTTTAAAACAATTGCATAGTATACACATAATTTTACCATGTGTTAAAGATTAAAACAAATTTGCATACTAATGAGATGAATGAGGTTATGTATATATGCATGTATGCATGTATATATATACATATTTACAAAGAGTTAAATCATGGCTAAACATTTGATACTGCAGAACACAGAGCATCTTCAACGTTTTTCAGAATTGACTGGTATTTTGATTTTTTCTAATCCTCAGTGCTGAGACTACCACTTCACATAAATATCCAGCAAAAAATGGCAGAAGTGTGTATATTTAGAACCATTTCAGAGATGGTTGGCGATTCCGCCCTCCTCACAACCCAAAAGCCGGTGAACAATACCTTATGAAGCTCAAGTCAGCAATTAAAACATGAATCTTTAAAATCAAACACTTTAAACACAATACAACCTAAAGATAAACTCATTTCATCTGTGCATGCTGAAGAACGGTGGCGGGAAAACATTTAAGGTCTTTGTTTTTCATAACTCAGCAGCTATGTTTCTACAAAAGCAGACCTTGTGAGTACGGTAAAACACTGCACATTGTGACATGCAAGAGCCTCGAAGCTGAATCAAAGAGCTTGGGGCTACATCCTTTGGTGTTGTGTGGTGTGGTGGCATGCACAACATGTTCATGATGTGCATTGAGAAGTTAGACTGTAGTGAAATCCACAATGCCACACATGGGAATGCTGCCAGAAACAGCTCAGACTCATTTAGTACTTTGCTTTTAACAATTTTTTTGTCATTATGCTTTCAGAAACCTATTGTCAAATTTTTCATGACCCCCATATTCAGTCAATGAACCCCATATCAGATGGCAATCTTCAGCTTAAAAATCTAGACTTGGGTCTAGCTCCATCTGGGCCAGGGGTAGGGGGAAAGAGGACGCTTGATCGCAGGATAGGTACACAGATGAACAGCTTTTCTAAGTTCTAGGAGCTCCACTGTCTCCCCACATACGTAGCAGCTCACCTTCACTTCACACCCAGCTGTCACACACACGGTGCAGCCAAGCTTTCCCGGTGTTATCCCCGTACAAGGCTGACAGGACATGAAGCAGCAGGAGGGTCAGACTCTAGACTCGCCATAAAAGAGATGTCTGGATTATCTGCAGGATTCCAGCCCAGCTGGCAGCAATGGGGTGATTTGAGAGCAAGCAGAAGATTGGTCGGAAGACAGGACGGAAGTCCAGGGCCCTGCTGACAATCCTCTCTCCTGTGCTCCCCAGTTCACATGTGGCCATCCACCTGGTTGGGTCCCAGCTTCATCTCTCATTGGCAACTTGATCTAAGGAAATTTGCTTTTGTGTGTCCAGTTCTGTCAACTATAAAATGAGGCTAATAATGGCAGCTACCTCACCGGGCTTTTGTGAGCAGTAAATAAGTTAAATAGAACGCATTTGGTTAGAGGCTAGCAAGGTGTTTCACCAGGCAAAGGCACTTGCTGGCAAGCTTGATGATCTGAGTTCAACCCCCGAGGGGGAGGGGAGAACCAGATTCCACAAGGGCCCCTCTGACACCCTTACATGCCTGTGTGCACACAAACCCTCCGTGAATAACTGTAACAATTTTTAAATGTTTTGTGTAGAGCTGGGCACATAATCAATACTATAGAATTAGCTACTGTTAGTATTCTCTGGGCACACAGAAAGGGTTGTTATGCTCTGCCTCGGCTGATAAGATAACCTTGTCCACTAACAAACTCATCAGAGGGTGAGAACAGAAAAGAAAGTCAATAATGAACAGAAGAAAGCCCACTGGAATGGAGGAGACCTACACCAGAAGCAGTCAGCCTGGATAACCCTAGACCATGATTCAACACTGGAAGTCAGTTCTAATCTGTCAAACACTTGCCTGCCTCTCTGATTTGTGGTGAGTCCCTCAGCACGTAACAAAACTAAAAATCGCCCAATCTGCACTTCTTACCCAGCTCCCCTGAAGCCCCAGGTGAGCACCTGAAGGAACAAAGACAGCCCTCAGTGTCTCCGATGCCCTCCCCCTCCCTGGGCTCTAGCACCAACGTAACAAGCGTCAGCCTCCTAAGTGTGGCCAGTGCTGCCACCCTGGAGCCAGAGCAGCGATGGAGGGAGACGGTGGGCAGATCACAAGGGCCTGTGCTGAACCGGGATCTCCCAGTTCGTGCTTCTGGAGCCTGCCAGCACATTAGCGCCTTGCCTGGCAAGCTAAGATTGTTCTTCCAACAGCTCAGTGGTGTTGCCAAGACTATCCAGAGCTGCCACGCTTGGCACTGGTTTCCTTATTTGCCATAGGATCTGGTGGAGGAGTGTCTGAATGGCTTGACTACAGCCAGGAGCCTGAGTTCTAATCCCTCACATGCCAAAATCATCTGTCAAAAGGTTTCGTGCAGCTGAGCACTCTGGACTCCTACTCCCCACCCAAAAAAGAGGAGGAATTTGTTCCTGGGTAGTTATTTACTTTAACCAAATTGTTCTCTGGTATTCAGCTGCAATGAAGAGGCTTAAGAGGTGCCAGGATAATTGCAGGTGGAGGAATAAAGAGAAAGACAGTAGTCATCACCTCAAGGTCAAGGTGAGCAGGCAGCCCTCTCCACCCCAGGGCCTGCTGAAGGGGGTGGTGTTATCTTTTATCATGTGTAGAGCCATGAATTCATTTCAAAAGACTCACTATTTTGTAGAGGAGGAGAAGGAAAAGGGTGGGAGGAGGGAGGGAGAGAAGATGAAAAGGTGGGAATGAGGGAGAGAGGGAGGGGGAGAGAGGGAGAGAAGGAGGGGGGAGAGAGGGAGGGATGGATGAAACCGTCACTCTAGGAATACTGTCTCTGAATAAAAAATTAACATTTTTTCTCTTCTTGATACGACATTGAAATAAAAACTCATCACTACTGAAACTGTTTGACCAATGACTAGTAAAAATGTATGCTAATACAGAGCAGGCTCATGTTGCAGCTAGAGCTTGACGAAGTAGCACATGCCTAAGTACAACTAATCCCCTTATTGCTAAGTGTCAGCTGGTGGCACTTATAATTTATATTAATTATGGCCTCATACTTGAACTCACCCCAAACCTTTGTCTGATTCTTGAGTCTCTCCCACTGCTTATCTAAGACAGAATTTGATTCCCTAGTATAGCCTTTGTTAAGAGGTTTTATGGTCAAACAAATTTGGGAAATGAAAATTGTGTAGTTCCTTGGAATTACAATAATGCCCATTAGCCCATTCAGCTATTAAGACACCCATAGAGGTTCACCAGGAAACAATCCTTTGACCTTTATTTAATCAGAGCTTCCCAAATAAACTTAGTCATGAGTCACTTTAGTATTGGATATACTTGGGGAAGCACCAGTCAACACCCATCCCAAATAGATAAGACTGGCAGACTAAGGCCTGTTGTGGGATATTCAGTCCTACTGTGAATGCTGAGTTTGCATTTGTGTTAAATAAAATCAACCTTGTGTTAGGAGGCAGAGCCAGAAACTAGTTGACAGAAAGTAATCATACAGAGTCAGAGGGAGTCTGGAACTGGAAGACAGAGAGATGCACAGGAAGTAGTAAGAAGGGGCTTTGAGTGTGGTGATTTTTTTGGGGGGGGGCGTGGAGCAGAAGGATGCTCTCTTTTTGAGATATCAGTGAAGAGAGAAGGTCAACTAGTTGCTCCTCAACCTCTCTGAGCTAGCGGGTTTTCAATCCAGCCTCTGACTTCCAAGTCTTATTGATAAATAGAACAATAGATATTTAGTTTAAAACTACATTTGGTAGCAGTGGCAGGAAGCAGATCCAGTGGGACATAAAAGTCCCTCTGGGCCACTGCCTGAGAAGTGGACCAGTGACTTTGGAGCCACTGTTGCTGGCTGAAGCAGCAGTAGATTCAGGGCAGCCACTGTGTCAGAGAAAAAAACAACATTTTGGCACCCAACACGGGGCACAAATTTAGTCACACTTTCTTTGGACCACCAGCTCCCAAATAATGACACAGAGACTTCTTATTAAGTATGAAAGTTTGGCCT